GGCAAAATATCCCTCCCCAGAGAATTTGAATAAAAATTATTTTCCCTTGAGAAGTTTTAGCTGTGAGAAGACCAGGTAGCTATGTTATGATAGCCAGGGCAATTGCAGTCCTAAGGAATTTGGAGGGTTTATATTTGTACAAATTTCTTCTAAGGCTCCACCATTTACTGTTGCTCTGCAAAAAGGGACATTTATCACTGCAGGGAGAAGGGTCCTCCTGATTTTTCCTCTGGGCCAGACTATCAGGGCACTGGAAGCCAATTGCCAGGAAATAGCAATGCCTCCTCCTGCGTGGTCTCCCCTGTTGGCTTGGTGAACGTGAGAGCAAGAACTCTGGATCCACTGGGCAGCTCTGCTCTGCTCCAGCACAGCAGGTACCACGTCTGGCTCCACCAGCATCCCTGCTTGGGTGGCCGGGGATGCTGCAGGACAGCGTTTGGGCACAGCCCACACCAACGCACAAACCTGCTCTGGTGAATGGGGAATGTGATGCAGCAAGCTGAGAATTTCCCTGCTTATCTCACTGGTGTGGAACATAATGAGCTAAAATATAAGGATGTTATTTAAGTACACCTTAATGTGCTGTCTCCATTGGGAAATGCTCGCACCTGGCCTTCCATAATAGCTTTGGGGAGGACAGGAGCTGGCAAAGGCTTGGAGCCAAGTCATCTGCTGCAACCAGGGGGCTGCTCTGCCTGGAGCAAACTCTTTATTCTGCCAAGGCTCTTTCACGGCTGTGTCCAAATGACTGGCAGGCTTTTTAAAATCCAGGCACTGCTTCATCTCAATTCTCGTACTTCATCTTTCCGGAAAAAAATATCAGTGTGGAATTCTACTTTTTCCTTTGCAAAATGGAACTGCTGTTTCATCAGCCAGCCTCACTACGGCAAACACTGTCAGCCCATCCACCTCGCTCCTAAAGTGCTCTACAAAATCCAACTTGCTTAATTTAGGACTGACGCCTGGTAAGCAAGATAACTCATGGGACAGATAAAGGTCCCTTTCCAGTGCCATTCCTTGGCTTGGAGACCACGTCAATGACACCAGCCTCAATTTTTAGCACAGCGATGAGGAGCTGGCACGGGGGGCGAAGAGCTTCGGTAACCATCCTTTATCTGTCAGGATGCGGCTGATGTTTAACCTTAAGAAAATTAATATTGTTAAAGGATTCTGAAGAGACAGCGTCCTTGTCACTGATGGCACTTGAGATTTCTCAGCTTGATTTTATACATTAGAAAGACAAATGTTGTCCAACGTTAGAAATAAGAAAGGGAGGTGCGAAGATTTAACGCCGGGAAGGGTCAGGTCCTCAGTCACCATCGCACTTCCCTTCATCAGCCATTAGATATGTCCCCAAAGAACCAAGAAACAACCAGAAATAAACAAACAAAGTGAACAGAGGTGCAAAGAAAAATAAATGTGTATTTCATCTCATGAAGGTTAAATCTCTGGTATTTTTACTGAATGCAAATTTTCCATTCTGATGCTTTGAGGCTTAAATTAATGACTGTGATTATTTAATTTCCCTCCATTTCCCTTCCAATTGCAACCGTCGCTCTTGTTTTTTAATATCACACATATACAGTTGTGCAGCTGCCACAGTCATTCACGTGAAGGTACACGCTGCATCATGCTCAACGCTTCGGTGTAAAAGTCTGGGCTACGTTGCTCTTCCGCGGTGCTAATGTAAAACCATCGGTGACTGTGTCGTTGGCTTCTAGCTACTCCCTTAGAAAAAAACTACTACAGGTCATTCCCTTGGCATCTGTCCCTTATAAAATGTACATTGCACAAAGTCATGGTTGAAAATGTACAGAGGAAATTACACATTCACCAAAAAAAACCAAAAAAAAAAAAAAGAAAGAAAAAAGAAACGAGAAAAAAAAAAGTCCGATTGCTATTTTACAAGAGAAAGTGTGTACCATTCAATACATACAAAATGTTTTAAAATTGTACGTAAGTACCAAAGGCATTATGAGAGATTCTTTGGAGATGAAACGAAAGTGCAAAAAAAGCCAAGGCAACAGAGCAAATTAAAGGAAGCAAAGCAGCAGCTGCCTTTGCTTTCTAAAGGACAACCAAACTCTCATGCTCAGCAGAGCCCCGGTGTGAAATTCACCTCTCGGTTCATCACCAGAACAAAGGCATCAACCATTTTTTAGCCTACTTTAAGGCCAAAGGAGCCAGATGCTGTTATAAACTGGGATAGCTTCAAGGTGTCTCAGGGAAATGGCAACAATCTCCAGCAATGGATGTACCCTTTGCTTAGAAACCTATTTGGGGCTGAAGTGGCTCTTACTGCTGACAATTTTGGACCTAAAGATGAATTTCAGGCCAATGTATAGATCTGATCACTATTTTTTTCAATGCATCTAGTGGTATTTAACTGGAAATATTAGCTCTTCATGCCTTTGTTTTTTTATATTAAACACTGAAGGATAATTTCTACCCAATATAGCTCTTATATCTTTAAAAATATGGGCAAAATTAAACCCTAGGGGATGATCAATTTGATGAGGTTGGTGGAATCTCTGTATAGAGGCCATCAGAGTCTGTGGGCTGACCTGCTTGGAAAATAAGATTTATTGATTATAACTCTATCAATAATTTCTTTCATAACTCTAAGATCAAAAATGGGCTTATGATGACTCTTTTCTTAAATTTCTCTTAACTAGGGGCTTTTTTAAATATGTAGGCAAAGCTAAGAGCAGGACCCACAGGGCAGCAGGATCCTCTGCCTGGGCATTAGACTATACTGGGGAGATGCCAGGTCTGTGAGAGAACATGGCACTGCCCATCGATGTCACCCGGGGTGACCGACGGCCCCGCTGCCATCGGGGTCACGCTGTCACAGCACATCAAGCCTTTGCCTTTGGCTCTCCGATGGCACAGGACAACTGTTTGGCTACAGGTCCTAGGAATGGGCTTTTTGGTTTGGACTTGCAACTGGCACTGGCCGCTATATTCTTTTGTTTGTTCCTTTGAAAGGAAGCCAAAGAAATGACAATTTAGAGCAACTGCATCACTCTGCTGCATGGCCTGTGCTGCCTTTGGAAGTGGGATTCCTCCTCAGGATGGCAGTTACACACCAATCCCTTCTGCAAATCTTCCTTTTTGATAGAAATACAGTATTGAAATAGTCTTTTGTTTTGGTTTTACCCACTCTCCCTCCCACTTCCAAAAAAAAAAAGAACTTTTTTTTGTCCCCCGTGCATCTCAGATGCAGCTTTATCTGTTTTGAAGCGTGTGTGTGCATGTGTTTGCGTACACAGACACTTACAGCAACACGTATATGCTTGTAGGCAAACAACAGGCACACACTTTTGCAGCCAAAGTTGTGTTGTCCTTTTATCTTGCAGGTTATGACAAAGATAAACCGTGAGCTTCATTCAATCTGTACAGAATTTACAGTTCAGATGAACAGCAATGAAGAATACATAGAAATACAGCAGTTGTCAAGTATTTTTGGGCTGTGTTTGTTTTGTTCAGGTAAAGTAACATTACCGAGGCAATCTCACTTATTTTAGCTTCCTGGTAAAATCTCTTTAAAGAAGCATTTATATGCTGTGTATTTCTTAACGAAACAGGATCTTCATTTTTCTCTTTTCCCAGTTCTGTCGAGTCACATCACAAAGTAGGCAGGTAACACTTTGTTTGCTGTCTCTTCAATGCCCATACACTTATTACAGGTAGTGATAATTATCAGCATTTGGCATGTAATGTGCAATCTGTGTGCAGTATATGTGGATAGTGTGCCAAAGAGACACTAAGCAAGATAAATTTCATAAATACAATGTCTATAGTGGAGAAACAGGAATATAGTTTTAGTGTGTGGAGCATTGCTGTATAAGAACAGTGGCACCCACCTATACGAATTACTGATAAAAGAATAAAACATTTATAAGAATAATTTATTGAATCTCCTAAAGCATTCGATATACCACGCAGCAACTGCAACTATGTTTAAAATCTGCTCTTGATTTAAAATATCAAAATCTCTGTCATTTATCAGCTGTATCTTGTTTTGTCTCGGTGTTCCTGAAAGTCTCAGGTTCTCTACCCCGTGTGTGAATTTTTTGAGAAAAAGTGAAGAAACTTTAAATTTCAGGGTTTGGGTGGTGGGGAAGAGTAACCAACACAGAAGGGTCCCCATCCTGCCCAATGACAGGGAATCATCAGCTCCAGGGAAGATGCTGGACCGGTGGGAATAACCAGGCAGGACAGAAAAGACCTGTCTCTACCTTTGATGACTTCTCCTCCGGTCATCAGCAAGGCTGAACACGGTGTCTACAGAGATGTGAAAGGACTGAGCCTTCTGTTTCCACATCTGTGATAAATCCCTTTCAGGAACATCACTGTGTATGTAAAACCCTGGCTCACGGCTGCTGTGTTGGTCAGGTTTAAGGGATTACCATGAAATGCTACTTCTGCTTTTAACGGTAGGTGCCCATGGCATGCAAAAATAAGGAAGGATTTTCTCATCTTGGCTTGCAAGGCATCTGCCTTTTCTATTGAGGAGTGGGAAGGAGAGAGCACCTCCCCAAGTCCACAGTCATCAGTGTCAAATGGAGCTGAGATTCCAGGGGAGGCTTCACCGGCAGCATGACATTCAGCCTTGGTTTCGGGCCAGAACCATCCAAACTGGAGATTTTGGCATGGCTTCTACCTGAAACCATTAACTCTGCCCTAAAATTATAGGCGTAGCTGCAGGTGAAATCTAGCCTGAGCTTGGCACTGAGTTTGGGAAAGCATTGCGGTTAGCTCAAGTTTCTCAGGACTAGGCAAACAGATGCTGCTTGGACAATTCATCTGCGGCTGTATTTACAGGAATTAGGAGAGGGCAAGAGGCTTCCAGGTTCACTGGCAGCTTTGGAAACAGCACAGCGTGGACCAGCTGCCTCCTATTTCTCCCCATTATCGAGCTGGAGCCTGGCATGCAAAGCCACATGTGTGGACTGATGAAGGAGACTCCGAAACAGCACAGCGTGGACCAGCTGCCTTCCATTTCTCCCCATGATTGAGCTGGAGCCTGGCATGCAAAGCCACATGCGTGGACCGCTGAAGGGGACTCTGGTCTTAAAAGCAGCTCTTGCTCCAGGGAGCAAAAGCATCAACACCGTTAGAGTCTGTAAGCTCTTCTCTGAGATGTTCAGCTTCAGACAAGAAAACCTGAACCGAACTCTCATCCCTGTTTCACTGCAATCAGCTAAAGCCAAGGGGACAGCCCCTTACAGGGTGCTGCACAGAGGGGCAAAATAAACTCCATCCCCGCGCTGAAAGGCTCCAGCGGAACAAACCAGGGATGTGGTTGAGGCCACGGTGGCTTGATGAGGAAGCAAATAAATTGCCAATAAAAAGCAAAACTGTCATGGCTAACAAAACATGAAGGCTCTCTGGTACAGCTAGTGATGCCAGGCCAAAAGCAAGTCTCAGAGCAGAGTTCTGGCGTTACATCTTCACTTGCGTACAGTCAGGACAAGGAAGGTGACGATACAGGACCGGTGTCAAACTAGATGATGGCAGCAGTGCGAGGAGATACAAGAAGACTGCAAACACCAGCGAGGCGGGCAAACCCCGAAGGCCTCATGACAGTCTGGTATTAGAGCAGGGAGAACTGCAGCAAAACATTTACAGAGATAGGAAGGCAGCTCAGTGCCTCTCCGTAAGGAAAGTAAGAGATGCTTCCACAAGGAATGGCTATGGCACACCTGCAGGGCCCCTGGACACCCAAGGGCTGTAGACGAGGGTGGGTGAAATTTTCAAAGAAGGGTTTCCAAAGTTTGGGAGTCACATTCCCCTCAGCCCCTTGGGCTGTGGGTGCAAACGCACACACACACACCAGAGCTGGACGCAGGCGAGAGAACCCTTTGGGAATCAAACCAGACATATGGCAAGTCCCACACGTGTGGGTTCAAACGGCATCTCCTAAACAAAGATCAGCCCTCCATCCTTGGCACTGCCTACCTTGTTCTGCCTGCTCCTCCGAACCCTCAGAAAGGGGGCACCTGGGATGCTCTTCTTCAGAGGCATCTGGGTGGAAAGGAGGTTGCTATCCACAGCCAACACAAATTGCAATTTTTCCTCCCCGTTTTCAAGGAGCCACAGGTACAAACGTGGCTCCTTTCTCCCCTTAGTTACAAGCAGTAGAAGTGGAGTTCATGCATGCTGTCTCAGAGGGAGGGGGCGATGACCGGTGGCAGCGTGAAAGACACTGGGTCTATCAGGGTTCCCCACAGAAGCACCGCAGCGGCCTACGCGACGGCTCACCGGCAGGATCGGCCTCTCCCCAGGACGATGCTTTTTGGCAACGCTACCTGGTCAGGTACTACAGCAATCTGGGAGTGCAGATACAGCTGGAGCATAGTGCTGTCTACTCGTCTCAGGCTGCATGCAGTAGCAGGCAAAATTGAGAGTACAGTGGGTGAGATAGTCGGGAAAGCACATTCATACGTTAAAAAGGAGCCGGCTGCTCCCCCCTGCAGCAGCCACCCCTTGCTGCTACCTAAATTATAAGCGTGATTAATAGTGTATCAAAACATCTGTAATCCCTCTCCCTCTAGACACTAATATAAGGCAAGCAGTATTGTGTCGCTGGGGCATCAAACACTAAGATATACTAAAGAAGATTCCTATGCGTTGTTATTAATATCCTTATTATTTAAAAAAAAAAAAAAAACCCAAACCCTATTGTTATTGTTAAAAAAAACCAACGAACCCACACCCGTGCTCTAAGCAGATTTTGCTCTGACACAGGAAAGTTGGGTGTTCATGTGCTAAAAGCAAGAGTTTGCTTTTCTGCGGCTTGAGCAGCAGTGACCCACGAGGGGCTCGGGGGGGGCTGCTGTCCTCACCCCCCCCCCCACGGACCCCCACGTCGCAGCCTCCGTGTTACTGCAGGTGAAGGAGCTTTTGTATCTGATTTCCTTGTTTCGGGTGCAGGAAAAGGAAGCGGGTGACAACAGAAGATGGTGACCCACAGCGGAGAGCGGGCGAGAGGATGGGGATGTGGGTCGGGGGACAAGAGGGGTGATGGGGAGGAAGGGCTGGAGGTTGGGGGCTCGCTCAACCCGAGGGCTCACACCAGCGGGGATGGAGAAACAGAAATCCTTAGCCTGCTCCTGGGCTTTTTCAACATTCCCAATAAAATACTCACTGCTAAGGGTCTTTATCCGGAATAACTCTTGGGAAAATTCCTTAGGAATTTCAGTTTCTCTTTTAATCTATTACATTTTGGTTTTAGCAATTCTGTTGCCGTGACCATAGTGCATATAAGGGAAATGAGGTTTGCTGTAGCTCCCTCTTGAGAAAAATATGAGTAAATGTGTTTTTCTTTTCTCAGGTAACTCTTAGGAAGGGGAACATCTGTATCTGAGATGATGCTCTGGCTTCTCAGGTAGATTATACAAACTTGTTCTAAAAATTCACATAATTTAAAGTCTTAAAAATCAATTAAAAATGTAAAAATATACCTATTTAGCTGCAACTAGCAATGGCCCTGCAGAATTTAGTTGGATCTATTAAGCAGCATTGGAAATAAAATACATTTTTAGAAAATTTGATCTATCACGTAGTCTGTCTAAATAAATATAATGGCTTTCTGAGCTGGACAAGAGGTTTTTCTTTCAGTGAGTTCCTTGACTTTTTTGTTTTAAAAATTATCAATAAGAAAATGAGTCAACAAGGAAATTCACATACAAAATCTGCACTTGAGTAACACTGAAGTCCCTTCCCAAATATTGGGAAATTTGACTTATGGCTAGTGTTCTGTTCCTGTGTCTCGGGGTCGCGTTATGAAAGGCCACCTGCAGAGAGATGGCAACATCTCCAGCCACATCTCCAGTTTGGAGACACAAACTCCTAGATGACTTGGAACTCAAGTTTGGACCTGAACCACCTGAAAACAGACTGTGGTTTCAGGTCCCAACCCCAGGGATTGCTCCATCCCGCAGGTAGGACCATCTGCAGTTTTTCTCTCCAGACTTAGACCCAGATTCTGATAAAAAAAAGTCCCAAGGTTTCTTGGAGACCAGATCCCAGGCCCTGGTCCAAGGCCACGGCTCCACATTCAGCACAGAGGCACCTCGGAACCAGACTCTGTGCACACAACTCTATGTGGGCACAGCCACCCCTGCAGCACTTCCAGATGGCCTGCTGGAAATTTGGCTTTCACACCTTCTTCACCTCATTTTGGTCTCCTCTGTCCACACTTAGAGTTGTCTAAAACTTGTTTCTGTCCTCCAAAAAATACAGAACCACGCTCTGGAGGAACAGGGGAGCAAAAACCAGCCCAAGAGAGGCTCAACAGAAGGATGAAGTTTGCCTGTCCATCCTTTTAAAGGACTTTATCATTGGGACTGCCGTATTAGGAAAAACAAAACAAATTTATTTTCTTTTAACCTAGTGGTTTAGACGTCCTGTGGGAGATTACCACCAGGAGTGTGCGATACAGGCAGGGGGGGACTGAGGGATTGAAAGAGAAGACCCTGCAGGAAGTATTGGACTGCCATTTAGGACAGGAATGACATTATTTATGTCAATAAGCAACAAGCAGGCTCTGTTATCATTTAGCAGGCATAAATAATTCCATGGAAATAAGAAGCATTATTTGGAGTTAATTCTGGTGTAAGTTAACCCAAAAATCCAGGTCTTTTTGGATGACACACTGGATGAATGAGAAGTGATGGCTTATGGCATGGTTGTGGATGGAGGCATTTTTTTGACATTATGTCACAGATAAAGGTGGGATATTTCTTACACCTTCCAAAAAAAATTCTATGTGAAATTTGTAGCAGCAAGATACACTCTGTGCTGCACACGTATAAAGCAGTTTTCTGTAATCAGTGATTGTGGGACAAATCCAACACCTTCTAAAGCTACAAGTCAGAAGATCTTTACGAGCTCTGGAGTAGTGACTTGAAGAGGGAAAATACAATTATTCCTATGCAGTCCCTAAAGGAGGTAAAATACTGCCAGATTTCAATCTGTGGAAAACTCAGAGGACACAGTGGAATTGCGACTCCTTGGGACACACTGGCAGTATCTGCTTTCAAGGGTGTAACATCATCTGGGCAGGAGAAAGGGATTTTGCAATAAGAAGTAGGAAATGGACATTCAAAATAGAGCCAATAGGTCTTCAAAATCAGGACATGATGGAAATTAACATCCCACAAAAATTGTGCCTTGAAGTCCTGCTCGCTTTGCCTCCTATATTAAAAACCAGTCATGTACCTGCATGACATCATCCTCATCTGCTTATCATACCCTTTATATCGTACCCTCCTGTGCCAAATTTCCAGCAGGTCTTGAAAAGTAATTGCAAACAAATAAGATAATAAATCTTTGTTGTCTCTGACTTGGGCAAAATTTGCAGTGAGCAGCTGGCTGGAGCAATGCTGACTTTTGCCTCACCCAATGCAATTTCCATTCTTGTGCTCACCAGAAAACACCACCAAGTCTGATTTGGGACCTGCTGACATTTCTCACCCTACCAGAAAGCACCATTTTGCAACATACCAGGGGCAAATCTGCACAATTTGCAGCCATTTTGCATTCAAAGATTTCTCTGTATTGAAGTCAAGGCCGTCACTGGGCTCACTTTGCACAAAGAAATCTGGAGCCAAGAAGGAGTTTGGGAGCACAAGCAGAGAGAGAAAAATTGCAGAAGGCAACAAAAAAAATGGATCAAGTGCGAAAGAAAGGAACTATCATGGCTGGAAGCCAAGGTGCCCTCTAAGAAAAATATCTTCCCTTCCTGAATGGTGAAAAATGGCAGGAAAAACAGTGCAGAGCCTTCCCCCACTCCTCAATCTCATGCGAAGACCTGCGTGATGGTCCTGAGCACTAGCAAAAGTGATGGTTTTATTCTCTGTCTGCAAGCTGCCAGACTGCACCCACATCTTCCCTAAGGCCAAACTAGTCCTGGGTCTCCCCTGGTTGCTGCCTCTGGTCAAGCAAAGAGGAGAGAAAAAGGCTGTGACTCTCCCTTCACCCCAAGCAAGTCAATGTTCGACCTCTCAAAGGCCACACAAAAATGAAGCTGTCACCTAAATATCCTTAACAGGCTCTTGATACGACACAGAGAAAACGTGGAGAGATGGGGTTTGAAATCACAGGCTCAGCCCCAGCAGAAAACACACATGGGATTTGGGCTGAAGACACACGGGAGGGTTCAGAGGCACAATGCTGGCCACCGTGTCCCAGCCCTGGAGATGGTCCCCAAATGCAACTTCTCCTGATCCACCCCCTTCCAAAAACACCTCACCAACCTATCCATGTAAAGGATCACTTTGTGACTTCGTTTTGGTCCCAAAAGAAACTTTAAGCATCACTTTTCCCCCTGCCTTCCCCCAGCTGAAGGCGCTGCTGAGGTTCCTGGTAACACCACAAAGATCTTTCCAAGAGAAAGTACTTTCACAACAACAAAACGGGGCAGACTTGGATTGGCACAATTTGCGGGCAAGCACAGGTAAGAGGCTTCTGAAAGACCATGAAGAAACAAAGAAGCACCTCTTAACTCAGCTTGAGGGATCCAAACAAAACCAAAGGATGTCCCGAGAACATGGGTGTGAGATTTGTGGCAGGGCAGAAGAAAGGGGAGATTTTCACGGGGCAGAGTGTGTGCAAAAGTGTTCAGGCACAATGCAAACTGTAAGAAAAGTGCCCACTATGACCAACAGGGCTTCAAAAGGATGGAGCTCAGCATTTAACTTGCAGCAATGCAGGGACCACAGCATCTGGCATATCCACCCTCTCCCTTTGGCCTGGCGTGCCTGCGACTCCACACCATCACTGTTGGCCACGAGAATGGCTTCACCCCATGGCAGCCCTCCAGAGGGGTTGCCTTTGGTTTGCCTTTGCTTCCAAAGCATCTCCAGGTCCGTTGTCAATGGGAGGAGAGATAATTACATATAATACATGGTTTAAAACATTAAATTCCAGCCCCGTAGTCTCTTGTCCTCCTTCTCTGTCTCCTTTCTCTGCTCTCTGGGTGGTCTCTCTGCCTGCACTCAAGCTCACATTTCTGAGTTTTTTGATTTCATAAGATGGGCTAATTTCCAAAGCGTTCAGGTTCAGAGCAGTATCCCAACCTGTCCCACTTTGAAGCCACGTCTTCTTGTTCATACCAGTATTCCAGCCACCAGCCCTCTCCTCCAGAGGCCTATGCAACATTTCCATGTATTATATTGGAATTATGACACCTTCCTGACGGTTAATGAAGGACCAGAGAGTAACAACCCCCCCATAATTACATGTGACCTGAAATCTAAGCCAGAAACAGACACGTGTTCATTCCACGACTCCACAGTACCCAAAGGTGTAATCACCAATAACATGACGTGGCAATTCCCACCTAACAGTTGTCAGCCACCAGTTACTGTGACCTCCAAAAGCCCTGGCTGGGTGATTTACTCCTGCCCTGCACTTCTGAAGATTCCCAAGAAATGCAAATTGCCTACCCTGCACCATGACATAATTTCACCTAATGATCTTAGAAAGAGAGTATGAAAGAAATCTGGACTTCATGGCTCCAGTTCGCTCACCACCACCGTGACCTCTTCCACACGTGCAGGCTCAGACCTGCTCGTTCACCCCCCAGAGTAAGCTGCAAGAAATTATCCGCCAGCTAAGGATGTCCTAGAAGGAGGAAAACCTTAGCTGTCAATCTCCTTGAGAAGTTCGACGCGTGGACAGCTGGAGTGGGCAGCTGCCAGTGCTCAGACGTGGCTCGGTGACTGCGAGAAGGCTTCACTGCCTGGGGGCTGACCAGCCCATGTCACTGAAAGGTCCCTCGCCCGTGGCCGACCTGGGAGGAGGACCGCAGGGCGTGCAGAGGTCAGAATCGGTGTCTGATTCCCCTTCTGCAATGTAGGGTCTGATTTTGGCCACGGCTGCATAGCAACCGTTGTTAAGGATGTCCAAATTCTCTTTGGACTGGGAGATGCTAAAGCCGCTGAAAGAGCGCTCCAGTTCCTCGTGGTCTACCGAGGGGATGGAGATGGACGTGTCGCTGTCTCTCATGGCACTCTCGTGGTGTTTGGTTGTAATGTCTTCGTTCCTCAGGTACTCTGCGCTTGCCCTGTGCCCACCGCTGTACGCTGACAAGGAGCGCTCATGGGAGGGTGGAGGTGGGATGCGGACCAGCGAGCCGGGGTCTCCGACGGGCGAGGAGCCATGGCTATGCCGCTGGTAGACCTGCTGCTGGCATGAGGTCGAGGGTGGGCAAGTGTTGGTCGGGGCTGGTGGGGCAGAGAAGTTCTTCTGACCCATGGAGCTGGTGGACCTGATGATCTTGATGATACAGCCGTTCTTGTCAATGTGCTCCCTGCTGTCTTCGGGGCTGTGGTAAGGAGGTGCTGGGTCTGGTTCTTTGGACCCAAAATAAGCCTCCGTCTCTGTTGGTGGGATGCCCATCCGCTGCATGTAAATGTTCACCAGGAAGTCCAGCTTCTTCTCCATTGACTGAACCTGCAAAACACCACAGTTCCAGGGCTACAGGCTGCACACAGGTTGAAGCACATTAAGATCCTGAGTACCAGCAACTTCCAACCCATCTGGGCACAGGTGTGGGGCTGGGCTTCATTGATAACCTCTGCCTACACTGACCTACACCAAACCAAAACTTTCAGTAAATAGTTAATTGTCCTATTCTGAAGCATTTAATTCTCCACCTTGTTACAGAGTTTTCCTTAAGCTCCCATAATCATTTTGACAGGCACCAAATTCCAGGAAATTTGGAGCACACTCACATCCTTTCAGCTCTTTTCTGCATTTGGCACTTGCCTGGGCTCAGGTGGCCACGGGGATTTCTGAGCCTTACCCTCTAGTCAGATTTTCATCTTTGGCAAGGCCAGCAGCTACAGCAGTCAGGCTCATGGACTCATTTGGAACATGTATGGTGGCATGGTGGCAAAGAAACCAATGTGACATTTTTAAAAATAATGTAGACTTTCAGTAAACTCCCTAAAAAAGAAACACTATGTCAAGGACTCCAAAGTGCCTGTTTTGAAAGGAGTACTTAGGCTTCCAAGACATTTAGTGCCCTTTCATAACATCCACCTCATTTCTTTTTCAAAATATTTTTAGCTCTTATATTTTTTCTAAATGGCAATGTCCCACTGGGGAAAAAATAAGGCAAGAAAAAGCCAACACAAGGCATGCAACACCCTCTGGTAAGAATTCCCTCCTGACCCAATATACCTGTTTTTCAACTTTTCCAAGCCTGCCCATCATGCTGGGGTCTTCAGGCAGTTCCCCCTCCGCTGGCCCTTTGGTCCGATCCTTGTCAGTCATGGAGGATCCTCTCCCAACAATCTGGTCAACTCTACCGGGATCAGAAAGTCCCCCCGCCCCCGGAAAAGGACCTGGAGTCAGTTGGAGGCAGCAGGCGAGGAGGGCTCCGCTTGTCGCACCTCCGTGGGACAAAGCAACAGCCTCTTGCCCAACTAACACTCCAAATTACTCACAGACACGCAGTGGCACTGAAGTGTTAATTCAGATGCAAAATTCAGAGCGGTATTAGCAGAGTTTGAAATTATCCATTTCTGTTTAAACAGATAAAACCTGGCACATTATGCACAGTAAATTTACCCACTGCAAAGAATTTCTTCAACTGGCTTTCTTCCAAATCAATTAACTTCTTATTTGCACTGAAAAAAATATTATCTTGGGGGAAGATCGAGTTTTCTGTCTAGCATATGTCAATGGGATTTTTTTCAGACTTTGCAGCAGTTTCCTCTCCTCGATGCAAATGTAAGTGTGTAATTCTCATGCCCATGAAAATGAGCTGCTTGTCCTGAGATCCAGATGAACAGGTGTCGTGGTAACTGGTTTAGTGCAGTTACATCAAGCTCGAATTTGGTCATAACTCACCAAACGTTACCAAATTGTCTTCATCTCAATGCTATGGCAATTTACACCCGTATCATTAGATGGTTTCTATCAGCAGGGCTCCAAGCAGGTAACAGCAGAGGACATTCCTGCCAAATCAGCAGCTAAAGCTCCTGGGCATGTTGTTTGGCACTTAATTCTTTACACACATTACATTTGCAACTCCTCACTCCCAGTCTAGAAACACCTGGGTTGATATACAGCTCTGCACGCAGAGGAAGAAGGATGGCAGAGTCAGTTTGGAAGCTGGAAGTCAATTTTTTTTGAGGCATCAAATATAAATTTTCTAGAGAGCAAACACCGGGGCCTCCTGATCTCTCAGAAGGAGCAGCTCAGTTTCAGAATAGGTTCTTAATGGCAGCCCCGTTTATAACCTAATTCTACGCCAGGCAAATTTTACTCTTGCATAATGCACCAAACGTAAGGGTGGCGGGGGAAAAGAAGGGTTAATTAATCTGACTGAAACCAAGTTGAGGTATCTTGAGCGGAAAACTCAAAATGCTTCTTACGCAGTTCTGCCGTGTGGGCCATGGGTCCATGCACCAGGAGGAGGAAAAGGAAGGAGCTGAACACAGACAGACAGGGGAAAATGAACAAACAAAAACCAAGGAAAGGAATGAGACGTGAGGCTATTTCCAACACAAGAGCCATCTGTTTTCTTTACATTTGACAGGGACTTAATACGTATGTGGGCTGTTGACATTAAGGGACAGATATTGGTGGGTATGGACCAGCGTGGCTCCCTTGGCTTATATTAGAGCAACAGCAGTTTACAGCACCAGAAGGTCTGGCTCAAAGAGATGAAGTGGATGAGCACATCACACCAAGGACAGAAAATAGAAGCCAACAATTATTTTAGAGTTTATCTTTGATCCCAGAAGATACTTCATTTGGGCAGGGTTGCGAGAGAATACCATTCTGTTTAAAAAAAAGTCATGTTTGATCCTTTGCTTAGCAATATAAGCGCAGGAGTACAAGGAGCACCAAGTGCTATAATTACAAGTGTGAGGAATATGCATGCCTTATTTCTCTCTTGTAATGGGAGAAGCAAATTACTGACATGTACAGGAACTCCCCACAAGGGATGCAATTACTGACATGACATACAGCACGAGAAATCCTACGACAATGTTGTTACCATGTAAGCAAAGAGGTATTAAATTGGATACCTCGGGCTACCTCGGTTTGGAATCACAAGTCAAGGCGTAGTACAGCCACTGTACGAACTCCTCTCCTGTATGCACAAGCAAGTAGACTAGTAAAACAATGAACATGCGTTTAAAGAGGCCCAAAGTCTAAATGCTACTGAATAAGGCCAAGAAAAATCAGGGTGCTCTGTCCTCGTGTCCCACCTAGCACAGCACTAACACTGAAATGTGTCCACTAATGGAAATGAGATGTCCTTCCAACAGTTGCTGAGTAGAGCAGGGAGGCAGGACAGACTGTAACACAGAGAGGAAAAACTGAACATTGCCATGCTACAGAGTATCATAAGAGCAGAAATATCCTAGTGCAACCCTATTTCTAATCTTGCAGAAATTGAGGAAGGAATTCTGCTCTCTTACATATTCTTAAGAGGAGAGTTATCCAGTAAGTGAACCTCACACGACCCACGTGAAGCACAGGAGGCCAGCTGGCACTTCAGATGGAGTGATCACCAGTATCATATCGAAAAACACTAATCTCTTCCATCACCTTCAGGCTGGAAACAACTTGCCTGTAAACCTGCTGTGATTTAAAAGCAGGACTGAAGCACTTCACAGAGCTCACCCACAAAGCATCCAGGAGCCCTTGCCCATATGTTCCTGATACCAGAGCCCAGGACAAATCCTGATGGATTCATTCCTTTCGTGTCTATACTTAAACATAGTCCTGATCCCTGAAGTGATCATCTTCCACAGCTCTGAGAAACCAGAGAGCCATATCTCACCTTGGAGGCAGGGTCTGCACCGAGGAGGTGCGGTGGGCAGATCTGACCACTGACTTCAGTGCAGAGAGGGAAGAAGGTGAACCAAATCCTCTCTTCATGGGAAAAAAAACAGGCTCAAGGTCTCCCACCCCTTCGCTTCTCATGGCAGAAGTTAGACCAGAGGAGACTGCTCCTACCCTCAGAAAAGCATGGAAATTTCATTTGTGCGCTATCTGACAAAAGAGAAGAACTTCCCTGCAAGCTCCCAACTCACCTGTGCCTAACTGAGCACCACAAAGAGCAGGAGGTCCTTCTAGCCACTATAAAAGAGTTGGAAGTTCTGTCCAAATTGGGCAGCAAAGCTCAAAAGATGAAGAAGAGAGAACATATTCCACCTTTGCAAGCAGAGGGGGACAGTGTACGTTCCTACTGTGTGACAAAGGACCAGGAATATTCTGAGATGCCAAATCCCACCTCTGCACTATATCCCAGGGGGAGACTTCTGCCTTCCCTACACTTATCTTGGCCGTGTTGAATACACACGTGCAGAGGGAAGAATTCAGCTGAGGCTTTGGAAGAGTCAGCCCTGTGTTTTTCCCTTTGTGGCAGAAGAGGATTCAGAGATTTCTAACAATGCACGACAAACTGTGCCATCTGCTGTCCTTGATAGGCTCTGCTGGGTCTTAGTTTGGGAGGGAGAGAGAAAGGGGGGTGGCTTTTTAAAGTGAACTTTGGTATCTTTCCTTCTTTCTAATGATACAAAAAAAATGTAAAGTCTTGCATCAGCCACAGTGCAGGTTTTCTCATGCTTCATTATGCTTCATGCTAACAGTGCATGCAAAGAGGTGTAATATGTCACCCTCGGGCCAGAAGCAGACATCAAAAGGTCAAACGGCTCAAATGAGATAAAAATGAAGTGTTTGGGAATATATATTCAATTCTTTTCTTTTTTTCTTTATCTCTTATAATTTTTTTTTGTACACAATCCAGGCATTGAAGCCAAACCCCCTTCATCCATGTCACAGGACTGGCTACTTACCTCCTCATTTGGCAATAAAGTTTGCTCTACACATATTTTGACCAATATCTCATCTAAAAATCACAGCTGAGGTAACTGAGGTTGCACCTGTTCTGTGTTAAATTAGCGATCAAGGGAATTTAATCCAAATTATCTGTGTGTGCAACTGCCTGCGTTTGCCTGGAGCAAACACCTTCAGCCAAACCACAGCCATGGACCTCCACGAGCGTCCAGTTGCCTTTGCTGGGAGCTACCTGCAGAAGCCTTTTTTGGTTGAACAGAGTCCTTGTCACTAGAGCACCACAATGGGTGGAGACACCTCATGGGACATCCCACGGTTTTATTTCTCAGGGCAGCATTTGGCTAAAACAGGGATGTGCAGTCTAAAAGGGATGGAGCTCCACGGTGAAGCCCATGGGGACCCCACAGCACACGTTCCCAAGGAAGGGACACACGTGGTGCTGAGATGATGAAGGTCACGTCAGCAGCTGGGTCTGACCCAGAGTTTTTGGAGTTGGGATGGGGCTGCTCAGAGCTCTGGTTGCCATCCATCGGGCACCATGAGCACCTCACAAGTACCACCAGTGTCTGTGGGAGGATGCAGCTGCTGAAAATCAAGCACAGCACAAGGCTTTTAATGGGTGGGAGCAGAGATTTCAGCAGCCTCCAGTACTCTGCTGCTTTCTGGAGCCTCTCAGCCACAGCTCAATAAAAAATAAATGAGGAAATTCAATAAAAAAAGGGAGCCATTATTAAAAGAAGTCTTATTGTCCCAGGAGCCTAGTGGGCATTTGCAAACAGACTTTTAATCTGGCCATCAGTATTAGAAACTATAAAAACAGGGCGGGGGGAAAAGTCATTGACATTAAGCTGAGGTAGCAGCAGACTCGGATTGAATAAAACAAATATCCCAGTGCCAGGTGATGGGCCTCCTCCCCCATTATCCAGTGATCAGCTTTTCTGTGTGCACAGCACAAGCTTTCACAGGAAAATCTTGCCTCTAGTGAAGGCTTGCTGCACACCTAATCTTATACATTAAATACAACTAAATCCTTTTGAATATGTATTTTTATTTTAAAATCAAAATGTTTCTGCAGATAAGAAAGTTATTTAATTTTTAAAGGCTAGGTTTGGGCCTCATCATTTGGCAGGGAGGAGAAATGGGAAAAATGCTTTTCTGAGAGTGTCATTTTCCAAGCATAAAGCTTGGGGCTTCTGGAAAAATCTCTTATTTTTTTTTTAATCATTGAGCTGGCTGAGTGGGAAAAGGTAAGCTTTCAATATTCCTTTTACTCACATTCCTCTAGTGAAGATTACTCAGAGCAGCTTAAATAAAAATCAAGAGATTTGTCATGTATTAGCTCTTAGGGAGGGCAAATATATTTAGAAAAAAAATATTTGAGGCTAAGCTTGCTGCATTTAAAAATTACCTACTATTTGTGCTTGGGAAATGACTTTCTGGCAAATATTTATACCTGCCTTGGGCTCTAGTGGTCTCAATACAAGGTGAAAACACAGCTCAGCTCATGGCCCTGCTGACCAGACCTCAGAATGCCCTCAAATGGGAACTTCAGGGAGAATATGTGTAGCTTTGGGTACAGTTTTACCTAAGGAGAGAACTTAATAAGGGCAATGAGAAAAACCTCACTGCATGACTGAGGGCTGGGTTTGACTCCTGCTCTTCTTCTTGCTTGCAAAATCAGGATCTTTTTTTTTTATGAATGTGAGTCCTATGGTTGAAATATTTTAACAGAATATTTTTCCTCCGTGGTCGGTAGAGTTGCATCAGCCAGAAAAAGAGACCACCGTGTTCATCGGGTGCGAAACACTTCATTCTTACTTTGCCCACTGAAGTAAACTCATGTCATAGTACAAAGAGCTGCAGAGGCTCCTTTGCTTGCGTGTGGAGTGTTTCAACTTTTAGAAAGGAGATCATTTTAGTGGCTTTGTGGGTAAATATTCCACCTTTGACATTTGAAGAAAATCTTATAAAATATGAGATTTTAAAAAGACAGGTTTTTGCTTTCTAACACCTAGAAGAAGACTGAAAATAGACAATACGCTAGCTGAAGAAACTGATGGTTACTGATGACTGTATGAAAATCCCTGTTTTGGCTTTTTTTTTTCCCTTTGGCTTGCCTAGTGTGAAAGCTCATTGCAGAAAGTAAATCAGAGCATACCCAGAGTAGCAAGCCCTTCTGAGTCATGATTTAGCGAGCTGCACTGCTAAGTGATAAATGCCGTCATATAACTGGCATGAAAGGGGTTTGACATTAAGCAAATGAAAAATCCAGAGAAAAGCGGCATTTGGTGAATCCTAACCTAGGCGAGTATTGGGGAGATTCTTTAGAAGAATACATGGGTCCTTTGGTTGGATACTTCTTATGCCGGGGAGTTGAAGGGGGCGGGGGACCCACAATCATATCTATCCTGGCAAAGTAAATAAGAAAAAAGACACCAGCAAAATGCATAATGAAGCAACACGTAGAGGAAAAAGTTGGTCAGAAAAGTTGCAGAAAGAAACAACTGAAAAAACAGAACGACAGAGAAAGGAAGAGAGAGACGTCGAAAAATATATTCCGCTGGAAACAGAAGGTTCTGTCCTACCACCTGGTTGTCAGTGAAAGCCAGTCTTATCCACTCCGGGGTAAGATTTGGAGATTTAGGCACCACCGAACCATCCTTAGGAGATCCCCCCCCACCCCAGATATAACAGGCAACATGCTTTACCCTCTGCAATGTATTTGCATATGTGTAGAGTTATCCCACTGAAGTGGTTGGATAGGAAACAACATATATTCATTCTCCTTTAAAGTCCCAGTGCTAGATAACACATCCTCAGCTAGTTGAGAAAAGCATGAGTCGTTGGAGTCGGTGAGATACGCTGCAGGACTGTGTAACTCAATGAATGGGAGACATCCATGGCTGGCAAGGTGTCAGGATGAGACACGAGACAGTGTGAACACAACGCTGAAAAGAGCACGTTACAGACACACCACAGTGACAGAGACATTAATGATTAAAGAGGAAAGTGCATGTAAACACCCCAGACATTTGCTGGAATGCAGCTTTAAATCCACCAATCACCTACGGGAGGTCACAGCCAGCCCTGCTGAGCTGAGCTGGTGAGGAGAACACAGTGCTTTGCTGGTGGGAAGGGAAATAAAAGTATCTGTTCTCCTCTGAGCTGGCCTGTGACAACCTCCCTGGGCTCCACTGTACTTCTAGCACCAGTTGGCCATGCCCCAACGTTGCCCGTGGCTATTCCCAGCACACACCTCATCTACAGGGTGGCCCTTCCAGTTCTATTGGGCAGGTGACCAGCCATGGGACCGCTTGGTGTCCATCTAGCTATGGTGATGAGTGCTTCAAAGGGTGACCACAAGGGGGTCTGCTCCCATCACCATCACTGGTCTCCTGCTCAGCGGGGACAGTGATATCAGTGAAGCTGCCTGGTAGCCCTGGAGCCCAAATCCAGGTACTTCACATTTTTAAAGCAGCTCCTGGTCCTCCTGACTTCCCTGCACTGGGCTAGACAGCTTAGCCCAGCCTCAGCAACCTCAGCCTAGCAGTCCCAAGGGTACAGCTGAGAGGAGAATTCAGACTGGTCTTTGAAAGTTGCCATTGCCTACCCTAACTCCCCCTAGAAAGAAGCCAACCAAACCACTTTGTCTTTGCAGCACATCAACTTAAAGGTCCCACCTTGACCCAGTGGAGATGACAACCCAACGGCTCACTACTCACTGCGGAGGCAGACTGGAGGCCTCAGGTTTCAGGTTATTAAAGTTAGGAAATATAAATCCCCTTCTCCTCCTCTTCCCTCTCCAGATTCAGCTACATGCCTTGGATCTATAATCGTTGAATTTGTACTGAATGGGGGTGAGCAGCTCAATGACAGGAAATTCTCCAGGATATTTTAGTCCCCATCGCAAGGGAGAATTTACCTTCTGGATGCGTATCTGGAAATGGGAAATGCACAGCATGGAGCAAGGCTGAGAAAGTTACCTCCACTGCTTGAAGATCAAAAATAGCAGAGTTAAAATGGTCTCTGAGAGGTTAGTGGAAGAAGAGAGATTCCTCTTTTTCCTAAGGCAGTTTTCCTATTCTATTCTTGGGGTTCCTATTAGCTGTTTGCATAACCAAACACACTTCTTTTGTACATTTGCTGAATTTGCCAGGGACCTAGGTGGGTTTGAAATTAAAGGGAAACTTCTTCAATGGCTTCTAGAGGAAGTTGGGCTGCCACAGCCAACATGGTTGTTTCATTCTCCAAGTGTAAAAGTAAATGGTAAATTACTTTGACTGGAAATAGCCTATGGCCAAGCCCTGGCTCTGTTCTGGGTGTCCTTCAAGCTCAGCAGATCTGGGGCTACTTCTGCTGAGCCAACACAGTGTTGGGGGGTTTGGGGTCCAGCATTCATTGTGGGACATCAGGGCTGAGGGAGGAGTGGTCTGACAAAAAGGTTTAGCTCAGATCCTCTGTTCAGGGGAGACCAAATTCGCCTGGGTTTCTTTGCAGGAGAAATAATTGGGGGATTGTAGCGGAAAATGAAATTTTAAATACCCTTGTTGCTTCCATTTGTCCCTTTTTCACATTTCTTCCTCTGCTAAAACTATCTCATTTCCCCCTAAAATTTGAGCAGAGAGGCTGAAACGCAGCTTGGTGAATCCACACCTCCGTTGGTGGGCTTGGATGAGAAATCCCCATCTGCATGTACTTTCACCAGACTGTACCATCTGAGGTGGGATTCCTCCTAAACCAGCTTAGCATCCTACCCTCTGCTCATCCCACCGCACCAGATACAATTTTGCATCCTTCCCAAATTAGCCAGATTAGCCTTAAAACTGGGGCACTGAAACTTTGCTATCCTGCCAGGAGGACCACAGAGATAACACACCTACTGTATCTATGGGATATACTGTAATGACAGAAATTCCCAAAGTAAAGCCTGGAGGAGCTGTGTTTTATGTGTGTATGTCCTGGAGTGGGCATTAAGATAATTTTGGTGGTATAACACCACCATTTGCAGTCCCTGCCCTGCTCATCCCTGGGGGTTCCAGCCACAAGCACCGATGTTTTCCTTGAGACTTGGAAAGAAAAAGAGTAAGTTGTAGCTGCAAAGGAAAGTGTCTCTCTCCTGGGCATGCCTCCACAATGAACAAAGAACAGTGAAAAAATGAAGCAAAGAGAGGGGTCTCTTGCCTGGCCTGAAGGTTTTTAATCCGGGAGAGCATGTCCAGGTGACCAGCTGAATACTGCTCGATGACATCCATCACGTCGTAGGGCCGAAGGCTCTCCTTAAACTTGCGCTTGGAGACGAGAAATCTCATAATGCTGCAGGAGATGGAGAGCAAGGAGAAAATATAGTCCCTGGGCTGCAGCCTGACCTGCTTAGTAGCAGATAAAAAACACCACAGGGAGCTGCTTTGGAAGGAAAATGGAATAAATCCCAGTCCTGTGGGTTTGGGAGAGGATGCAGCAATAGGAGAGGGGGATTGCGGGGGCTTGGGGCTGAAGCCCCCTCTGCGACAGGGGGTTCCCGATGCCCCTCGGACTATCAGCTCTGCCAATGTCCTCTCTGCACCACTTTTGTAAATGTCAGCAGTAAATCTCAAAGCTGGTGAGAGTGATCATTTGGATGCATCCCTGCGGGGAATTTTCCTGTTTCTCCATTTATTCCTTCCCTCAGCAAAAATCGCCCTTTCTGGCAGAATTTTCTGCAAAGGAGAGCAGGCCACCCAGGGGAAAAACAGCCTGCAGCATAGACATTTCAGCATTTGCCACCTTTGCTTGGATTTAAATTTCCCTTTTCCCCACTCTATTATTTATTTTTGCAGACCGCTTCCCCCCTCTCCCTCTCTTACCACACTGCCCTGATGCTGACTTTCAGCCCTGGTGTCAAATCTTCCGTCACAAACTCGCAATTGCAGCTTTTGTTCTCATCAGGAATGTCTTCTCCGGGGAGGCTTGCTTCTGGATTTGGGAGAAGGAGGAATAAGGACAACATGTTACCATTCCCCGTGCTGGTACCACGCGAGAAAATGCAAGTGTGATCACAAACAGCAATCCCAGGGGAAGCAGCAGAGATATCTTTGCTGAGCATCTCGATGGGAGCATTTCCCAAGACATGTTATGGTGACATCCAGTAATGCCAACTGCAGCTCTCACCCATCTCTAGAAGCCTGACTCTTCCTCCTTTCCCCATCCCTATGTACATAAATATATACATTATCACGGTGTCAACAGGCGTTTTCTTATCTCTTATTATACTCTGAGCTAAAGGACTGGAAGGGAAAGGAGATTTGTGTAAGCACCCTGGCTGGTACCTCTGCCCTTCTTGGGTTGAGATGGAGAAGACGTTGGGGTTGGACAAGGCTTTGGGGTCCAGGGCAGCATCCCAAGTCCTCACCTTCTGAGTTTTGCCGCGACGCCGCTCCCTTGATGCGGAAAGCTTGCCGGGCTCGGCTGCGGTCTCCGAAGCTCCAGCTCTTGGGGACTTTGCTCGGGCTGTCCTCGATGCTCTGGTCAGCACTGGGGGACCTCCGGATGCCCTGAGCCTGTGGAGAGCCTTTCCCTTTGGTGCCAGCACCGCGGGGACTGGAGAAGACACGATCTTTCAAACTGACCTTCTGACTGTTCAGAGAAACACGTTGAAACAAAGACAAAAAGGAGACAGCAGGAGGAGTCATTCTGGAAACCACGCAGTCCTTCCCCACCAGCCATTAGAAACCAAGAGCACTTCCAAGCAGCAGTGAGATGTAGTTTTGCTGTTGGCTTTTTTTTTTTTAAATATAAATATTTATTTTCTTTTTTTTTTTTCTTTAAAGAAAGCATTGTAGAAATGTTTCCGCCATAATGAGTGAAATGGGAATGATTATTAAGAGAGAGAAAATAATGAGGACTTAAACAGAAGCCCCTTGTGGGATGCCAGGGCTGGCGGGACAGAATGACGTTAAACAATGAAGTTATGATTCCTTAAATCACTGATCGGCTCCGATCACGAGCGAGGAAGCTTTTCTTTCACAACTGCCTTCCAAAACCCTATGTCTAATAAAAAAATACTAATTTAAAAAAGCCTTTACCTTAAACTTTTAACTCTCTTGGAAACGCTTCACTTCCGTTGTTCAGACCTGCCCTTTCCCTTTCTTCAACTCCTGTATTTCCTCCCTCTTAAAACATGATCTCCCCCTTTTATATATTCTCAAGAGTTCCTCTTTTCCCAGCCATATACTTAAATACATAAATACAAACACTTAAATGTGCAATTCCTTTGTGTTCTATAAAGATTTGATCTAAAAACTAGCTAACATCTACCTGTACCTCTGCTACGGGTGTCATAAACACGCAAAGCAAAATTTTACGTCTTCAGAATATGGCATTTTATTGCTGTTTTTCTATTAAAATCCTATTTCTTTAAAACCTTGTAATTATGGTTTGAAAAGATCTCTCCCAGAAACAGAGATGATCTTACTGAGAAATGGTCTGCTGACCGCTCAGCTTGAATTATTTTGCAAATGCTGAAATTTGTTATTAAAAGCTTTCACCCAAATGAAGATGATGAATTTTCACATGAAAATTGCAAAACAAAAAAAATTTTGTGAATCTTTATGAAAGGGCAAACTTTATAGAGACAGCCCTGGGGAAACCAAACTGCAAATGGTTTTGGAGATTTTGATATTTTCTGAATAGCAATTGAACATTAAAATACACTAATAGAGGCAAGACACTTGCACGTACAGCCAATATTTTTTATATAGGTGAATCAAAACTGAGTAAAACCATGGATTAAATTCCCAATACTCTGTACCATTGCAGCAGCCACTTATCATTTTGCTGCAAACACTCTGACTCGATTTGGGGGAAGAACACGGCAGGAATTCTGATTTCCACATCAGATTTTCAGGTCACCAACCAAAGACCTGGGTCGTTTTGTGGGGTTTTTTTCTGTCTCTCAGCAACGCCACCTCAAAACTCAGAGCCAAACAGTCCTCCTTTGCCTTCCAAACCGGCACAAGGTTCTTCAATCAGAACTGAACTGCTGATATTTGAAGCAAAGCAAAACCCAGCTCCCTTTTCCCCGGCCGTGTCGGCTTGTGCTGCGCTGAGGGGAACAGACATTTGTCTGTGTCAGTAAAGGAAGACGACGTGACTCGGAGACACACAGGGAGCAGATTTGTTGAGTAAGAAGGTGCTATTTTTACAAAGTCACTTCACATTGGGAGACATCGAACGTTTACAGGGAGAGAAAGGTGCTTAGGCAGCATTTCCCCCCGTTGCGCAGCGCGATCCCGGGGAGGCACCCCCATCCCCGTGAACAAAGTGGGCTGCCAGGCAGGATTATTTGTGGCCACCAGCTGGGCAACCATTCCACCTTGAGAGAAAATAAAATTTGTTCACGACCAAGTTAGAAAAGGCGGAATTTTTCCAATTAATGCTGAGTTTTCAATTCAGGTGGAGACTGGAGATTTCATTTCCAGCGTGCTGCCCACCTGCAGGGTCTGTCTGAAAGCCACGGGGCCAACAGATGTTTTCAGCAGAGCTGGAAATCAGATCAGAGGCACAAATCCGCACAGGAATCTAGGAACAAGCATGTGCCTAAATACCTTTCTGGATGTAAGCCTTAGTCGCTAATGCTACAGAAATCATCGTACATAATGAGCCAAATGTTTAAAAGCAATCCTCATTCTGTGTTTCTTGGATTAGAAACCAGATTGAAAATTGATTTGTCATTTAATCCTAAATAGGCCAATTAGATTCTTTTTTTTCTTTATTTCGGTTGATTTTGCAGAAGAATATTTCTGGATTCTACTGCATTTCAGTAGTACTAATAGGTTGAACTACCTGGTCTTCTTTAAAAGCAAGTTTTATAAAAAACAAATCAGCAACACACCAGAATTAAGAATTCAAAGCAATCTCTTATGCCTCCTCCTCTGCTGAGCTGCTCCCATCACCAATCTCAGCATAAAACCAGTTGCCTGTCACTGAGTAAAGCAGGGCCTTTTCTTTGGGCCCCTTTTCCACTCCCACAATAAATGTGCTGCAAACGTTGGCAGGAATCACAAAAGGCAAAAAAAGAAAGCGTTGAACCCAGTGAGGAATATGAGCAAAGAGTTTAAAGCCTGAGAGCATGAGGTGCAACACTTTCACACATTAAAAAAATCACTTAGAAATCTGATGAACAGTTAAGATCTGGGTGGGTTTTGTTCCTGAGCACTCACTACTCAGAAAAAAACCCGACGCCTGACGTAACTTCTCTGTTTTAACATAGACAACATGAGACAACATGAACAATTAATTGATTTTTTCCTTCTGCCATGCAATTCTCTCATTGGAAGTGACACCTGGAATCACATGCAAGTACAGTCCCTGCAGAGGAGGATGCTGTTGGGGTCTGCAGGAGCTGGTAGGAAAGAGTCCAAAAGAAATATAGACATATATAGAGATATATGTTGTCAGCTAATCCAAGATCATGTTCTCATTCAACCAGAACGTCATGCAGAGTGACACAGAGTGTCTGGGAGGGGTGGGCTTTGGATGTCACTCGAGCAGATGGTAAATGAGCCTCAGTTGGGTGGGAAGTGTCTGTGTCAGTGACATGAATGTGAGGAGAGCAGTAATCCAGCCACACGAGACAACATGAACTAAAGCTGGGAATTGTGGTAGTTAAGAGCGGGGTGAGCACAGGGCAGGTGCCCTGCTCGTTCCAGGGGGAAGGGAAGGGAAAGAAAACTGTGGCAACCAGAGACAAAGATCATGGGAAGCTGTAACAGCGTAACAGGGCGGGCTTTAGTTCCTAAGTCTTCATAACCAATTTCAGTTGGCATCTATTAAAACCATATCCGATAACAAAACAGTTATGTTTCCAGGCTGACTTTGGGGAAGGTTTACAAAACTCCCAGCTTTTTACTTGAATTTAACAAAGGATAGAAACTGTGTTGGTTTTTTTCTCTGCTGCCAGTCAAAACAGGAGAGCCCGTGCTTGGACAAACACATAAGGACCAAGCCATGGTCCCCCCACTGACAGAAAGACACTCACTGCCTTCCTGGGCTTTGCATTTAGGTTCATTTATGTCCAAGAGCCCAGCACTCAGCATCAAAATACAAGTGATACAAACTAACCTTCAAATACAAATATTCGTTAACCTTCAAAAAAGCTTCCATCAGCCTCTTTAGGATGTTGGGGGTCTGAGCTCCCGTTTGAAACCCTCTGGTTTGGGCTTCATTCCAGAGTCCTCCACAGTAACAAAAAAGCTTCCATCAGCCTCTTTAGGATGCTGGGGGTCTGAGCTCCTGTTTGAAACCCTCTGGTTTGGGCTTCACTCCAGAGTCCTCAGAGTAGTATTAAACCAGCACTTTTAAAAAATGCGGACTCATTACGTTAACAGTAATTTTGGATCAATGAGAAGTATCACCTGTAATGTCTTGTCATTGATTTTAAACTATGCTTGAGCAATCATTTCATTTTCTCCTTTCATTTTGGAGGCAGCAAATGATAACCAAACCGGGTTGGACTAGAGTGGACTCAAATCTGCCTCTGCAGATGAACTCAGCCAGTAACAGTGTTCACTCTTCTGAGAATCTACAGCCAGGAGAAAGAGGTTATCTCCTGCTGGGACACGAGGCTGGTTTTCAATCCAGAGTTTGTGCTGATCTCACGCTGTATGAGAACAGCTTGCTAAAACCAGGCAGGAGTGCTGGGAGTGATTGATAGCCTTTGTGGCTATCGCTGGGCTCCACTCTGGTCACAGGTGGGAGTAAGAGGCAGAAACCAATTACTGGAGACATGAAGGAAAGGAAAATACATCTGTGTGTGCAAAACTTGCCATGACTAGAGCAGAAATCAAGAGAGGACCAGGCTCAAGCCTGGTTTGCCTCCGGTGATTTCAGAAAAGCCATTGCAAAGGTGAATTCAGCCCGGAGAATGGAGTTTCTAGGAGAGGAACCTGGGCATAAGGAAGACAAAAGGTCAGCCAGTGATCAACGTCATGGTGGGTAATCCCTCTTCATCTCCAATGTTAGATGCAGGTTGAAGAGAGTGACTGAAATCATTACGGGGCAGAGCAGAGCTGCACCATCCCCACAGCCACCACATCAGCGTGGGACCTCAGTGAGTGAAGGGACACTGGAGCCAGACACGTCTTTAACCTCAGCCTTTGGTATTTTGCAGCACTGCTTTTACAGTCACCCCTCTCTTCCTAACACACAGCCTTTTTCACCCCAAACTGATGTCGAGCACTCTCAAACAGCACATCAGACATATCCTGCGTCTTCTTGCAACCTTTTGCTTTTTGCCAGCTCAGCTCTTCTGCATTGCAGGAGCAAAGCAAAACAGCTAAATTGCATCTTTGAGCTGGCTGATTATTCCTAAACAAGACTTTAAGAAACATGCTGCAGCCAGACCCGCAGGCCAGTCAAGGGCTCTGCAAACACCTTCCCTTCCCCAACCTGTGTGCCACTTCTTCCCACCATCAGGTCTCTGTGGTGCCTTCATCTCTCCAAGTAGATGCAAGAAAAGTCTCTTACAAAGCAGAATATGATAGACCTGATAATCTGGCTTGGTACAGTTACATTACAGCCTAAAAATGCACGCATTATTGCATTTATTGACTAGAGAGCATTGGTTTAGTGCATTAAGAAACCACAGCTTCTAAGAAGTTTTCTATTAATTTACCTACATTGAGTTTTCCATAATTGCCTCATCGTTTGCTCTTACTTTGTTATATGCATCCTAGATGAAGGCTTTAAGCACTCAGCCCTAGATGCATCAAAGTGCTGGCATCTGCCCCTAAGAGTGTGTGCAGTGGGGGGTCGCAGGCAGGTAGCCCAAGGGGCCAGGAAAACAAGACATTTGCATTATTTTTATGTCCCTTCAAGGATAACCTATAGTTTTACTAAAGCATGGTGTGTAAAACACTACATTCAGGATGGATGCAGGTATGAAAGATGCTCTTGTAGCTAACCTGAAGTTCAAGACTCCTTTTTGACTGGAAGAACCACAGTCTGTAACCCTCCTTCTCTGGGTCTCCAATGAATTAAGACAATCTTGAGATAATAATTTGTATCATCCTCCCTTTCCCTTGCAGAACTCAAGACAGGGGAGATGAAATGAGGACCACAGTGGGAAGGAATTCAGTAGAAAATAGAAAAAAAAATTACAGTAGCTTTACCAATTAACTATTCATGCCTAGGAAGACATGCAAGGAAGACATTAAGATCAGAGTGGCTGATTTTCCAGAAAACAGAACTGGACATGGACAGGTGAGAGGACAGCATTACGAATATCACTGCTTGCTTTAATCTCTGCCAAAAACCAACCTCAACATCGAGCAATTAAAAGGAGCCTTCCTCTGGGGAGCAGTCCCTGCTTGCACTATGCCTCCGCCTTCAAGGATAAAACAACCTCACCTGGCAAGTGGAAACGCTACAGAAATCATGAGAATTTATTTTTTCAGCTAGACTATTGACCAAATCTTTGCCACTTGGAAATGCATTGAATTTCTGTCTGTGCAACTGATGATCACCCCATATCTAAACCAGAGCTTTCAGGGATAAACCTCAAGGAAGACCACAGCACTGTCAAAACACATAGCAGGAGGCTAACTCCGAGATTCAGGCTATTTATCCAGGTTGAAGGGATTTCCTGCCATGGAAAACTGCTTATTATGAAACCTTGATCATGCCCCCTTCCTCTTTGTTACCCATCCGGAGATGGGATTTACCACACCCCTTCTGAGCTGCTGGTACAGGCAAGTCTCAGGCACAAATCTTAGCCTCTTGACTGACAGATAATCAAAATAGCCAGTAGGGAAAAAAATAGCAAGAAAAGAAAAGATACAAGTTGGAACAATTAATGGAGAAAATCAGAGAGACATGTACTTTTGAAACTGCAGTTTGTTGGCTTTCTGAGGGAGACAGAGACTGGTGATTTTGAGAATTGAAACGGACTCCAAAAAAGAGCATGCAAAAATCCGATTTCACAAACATGCGGCATCACTCGGTGCCCTGAGCTCCTGAGCTTCCTTCCACCTGCCTGGCTGCGGGGAAGAGCTGATGGGGTTTCACCTGACAGCATTCACAGCATGCAAACTCCGGGCATCGCTCACTCAAGAAGGTGCATGTTTGCTGCTGAGAAGCAGTGTCTGGGGTGGGGGAAGAGGCTCCTCCAGGGCAGGCGTGGAAGTAGACGCCGTATTTATGCATAAATAAGATGCACGTATCTGCATACCCTGACGGCCATCAGATGGGTGCACTAAGGGATGCTCACTGGGAATTCTCTGAAGACGCCTAAGAGTTGTTCAGATTGATGAAAAAGATGGAAACTCTGCCCAGACAAAACTCTCTGCTCTAGCTATCTGTTCCCCGTGGGATCTAGAAACAGAACCATTCACAATGCCACGTCAACGCTACGGGGAACCCAGATCCCCTACGTCTGGTGGGACAGGCTGAGATTAGTCCTTCTCTAGCTGCGTAGTAGAGGTGCTAGATAGGCAAGCCATGGCTTCCAAAGGCCACAAGTCTAGGAAAGGTCAATTTGCAGTGTTCAGAGAGCCAAAGGAACGGTGATTGAGCAGAGGGAGGAAGCTGGAATTTCTCATGCTACTAACTTGATATTGCTGGAGAGCGCAATTAAATTTGTAAGGATTCCTGGACCCTGAGGAGGGATGGAGTGATAGGGAGGAAGGGGTCTTTTTTAAAAAAAAAAATAATAATGAAATTTTTTAATTTGTTTTAAAAGTTTTCCATCATTTGTTAATCTTTAGTTCCTGGCCTCCTTCCTTGCTGAGCAGACACCAGCTTGCTAGCCCAGACCAAATTCCCCATCCTCGTCTCTTTGATTCACATGTTCTGCACGATTAGCAGACAAGGAAGCCTCTAATTTCTGAGCGGGCAAATGGGGAGGCTCTTTCACCTTTTTTTTTTTTTACTCATCTAGTACCTCTATTAAGCAGAGAAGTGATCAGAACGGGTGGTAGCAGGGTAGAGGGAGAATGAGCCGTGCAGCTTTTGATTAGTTCCGTGCGACGCATTTCCCGTGGTACCTAGAGTTTCCTGAGCAGCATCCGCAAAGTGACTCTCTGCACGGTTTGCTTTTACTGGAAATGAGGGGAGAGTAAAAATTAGACCTGGAAGCAAATGCCAGACAGGAAACTTTTGATTACTGACTCTAGGTTTAAAAGACAGGTGTTTTGAGGGCCGGGTTCATGACAGGATTTTTCTGTTAGAGTGTTAAATGGAAAAAAAGAATAGAAATCACAGGGGGAGGTTCTGAAATTTGTCTCTCTGTGGTCAATATATTAGAAATGTTGCATTCTGCATTGAATTGGTGGTATCAGCTCATCTACAATTGACTAAATCCTGCAGGAAGATTTTTTCATCTGTATTGGAAACAAAAAGTAGTCTCTTCTTCCTCTAAACAGATAAAAAAGACTTTTTTTTTCAATTGTCTAAGCGATGGAGAGCCAAAACTTTAACTTGTTTTGTTCAACAACATCCAAAAGGTTCAAATTTCTCCTTTTAAAAAAAAAAAAATATCACAAAGAGACCTAGTTTATCTGCAAATTATTTGCACTTTGCATACAGGAGATAGCATTATATTAAGCCTGGCATTAAAAAAAAAAAAAAAAAGATAAAACCAGGGTGTGGTGCAGTCCCTTATGGGAAGGGATACAAAAATCTGTGTTCATGCATCTGTTTTTTGTAGACAAGCCCTACCACTTCTGGTGAGTCTCTGGCTTGGCTGAGGCACCACCACAGCTCCTGTGAGAGCCCACCCCAAATCACTGCTCAGGCACTGCCCTGCCAGGAGATCGCCACCACCACCAGGGTTCTCCACGCCATGGAGCAGCCCTCTACCTGCAGAAGGGTAAATGCTGTGGCCCTCGTCACCCCACCTGGCCACCAGCGGGCATGGCTTGCTGAGTTCATGGACAGATGGAAAAGGCCAAAGGGCATAAAAACCCAACCTCATGTTACATTTGAACTCGGCAATCGGAAGAGCTCATGGGCACACGCAGAAGGAATTTGCAAGGAATTCTCTCTGCTTCACGGCATCTTGTGCAAGCTCAGCCAACACCCCCCCTCCATCCTGGGGACTCCTCAGGCACCCGCAATGGGACCCCCACATCCTCAGGGAGTCCTGGGGACTGGTGGGGCTACCAGGGCTGTTCTGGAGCTGGGGTCTGAGCATTGCGGCATGGAAGTGGGATATTCAGCATGCAGAGCCTCGGGAAGACATGTGAGTTTCCCTCCTCTTAGTCTCCTCTGTGGTCCCTACGGAAAGATGCAGTCCCTTCTGTGCAAATAATCCGCTCCCCTGAAGGCAACTGATTATTTCCAGATTACTGTCAGTCCCAGCATGAGTCTCTGACACCAGTTGAATTGATTAGAAGGTCAAACCCCCAACCCAGGCTACCATGGCCCATCTGGCTCCTGTGATTGACACCGGTTTCCATGGGCAGTAGTGGTTAGTGACACCTCAGACACCCTAGGCTGGATGAGCAGGGGCCCACTGAGTCAACCAAAGGCATCCTCCAGTGCATACAAAAGCCTGAATCACACCCCTGAACAGTGTATCTCAGACAGACATACACATACATTGATATATAGATAGATATACGCACAGATATACATACACATTACAAGGTGGCTCAGTCCAGAATTCACTCAATATAATGGCCAAGGTCTTGCTGAGTTCATTAGGGTCAAGGACAAACCACAGCTGAGGACAACCTTCCAAAGAGGTTCCTCTCATTACCTACAGGGCTGAACTCATGCTGGACAAAGTAATCTGAGTTTTAGCTTCCCAGTTCCCTGGAATTCTCCTGTTTCTTTTTCTCTGATATTAATGTATTATTATGATCATTTGGTTCATTAATTTTTAGCTTTTCACCCAATCATATTTTGGAAAATACAAGAGGAACAAATGTGGTCACAGATGCCTTCAGATGTTGATCAAACCATCTGTTAAAAAGCATCTGCAGCTCACTTTTCATATAGAAGCCTCCACGGTCCTGGCTAACCATACGTCCATCTCTTTGACATTACAATCAGAAGACAAAATAAACAGAGACGAGATGCTACAGCAAATTTCCAGCCTGATTAACGAGGGAACAATCAAACCTTGTTACCACTCTGATTTGCTGACTTTCTGCAGCAGGAGGGGTGAGAAAAGCCCCATCAGAGAGCAGCCCTCCTTCCCCGGGGTTATGAGGCAGAGAGGACTCATCGTTTGACCCTGCGTGAGAGCAGGGTGGAGAGATGCTTGGATGAGCACTACCTGGGGACAGGGGCTGCTTCTCCTGGCCAAGACAGATGGTAGAGTGGACACGGTGCCCAAAGTGATGGGCAACAGAGGAGGCTCTGTAAGCAGATTTTTAAAAAGGGAGAAAAATAATAATAAAAAAAAAAAAGGAGTGGGTGTGAGGGAGTAGGGAAGAGGTAGGTAGCATGTAGAAAAAGGCCACCGTCTTTTCCACTCATCCCAGCTCTGTGTCACGGGGAGATGAGCCCCGAGCAGGTCAGCTCACAGCTTCCTGGCACTCGGGCAGAGATGGATGCAGACAAGCTCGCGGTGGAAAACACACCAGGAATGATAGAGAAAGGACGTAACCTGTCTCGGATCAGCTGGTCCCATTCTATGCCAAGCCCAAAACAAAAAAGCCACCTGAGTAATTCCAGGTGGCCCCGAGCCTCCGCCACGCTAACCCCATCACCTCCCCATGTCCTCCCACCCCAGGCAGCAGCTCTCCGAGCACTGCCTGGGCAGGAATCAGCACGGCTACAGCGGCATCAGAGCCAGGGGGCAAGACCCCACATGCTGCCCCACACACTGGTGGGGCGTTTGGGATGCTCCTGACCTTGCAAGGCAATGCCAATCTTGCACAGCACGCTCCCATGAGCCGTGCCAGCATCCCTTCTCTGACTCAAAATATGTTAAGATGCAAAATAGTGGAAAAAAAACCTTTTCTGTTCTGTTTGCTGTAAGGACTTTTCAATTAGGGAAAGAGGGTTACAGGAAATCAGCCACTCTCTAAACATAACTACGATGGGAGGAAGATCCAGGTATCTCCAGATGAGAGACTACGTTTCCTTACGTGGATGGAAATGGAAAGTGGTAAATCCTTTAGCAGCTGGAGCAACAAAAGCGTGGTGCTGGGGTCGGCTATGAGAGAAGATTCATCCTGAGGAGTTTCCAAAGTGATAGTCATCAGCGACAGACCACGGCTGGATGATTAACCGACGGGTGGGCTGAGAAACAGCACAAGCTTTCTTTGCTAAGGGCAGGATGACACATTGAGCATCATTGTGAGCCTGCTGGAAATCAAAGTGGGTGGGAGATTTGGGATGTGAATGGAAGAGAAACTTTTTATTTGGGAAAATAGCTGATTTGCCCCCCGCCCCCGAATATAGGGACCAATTTTGTGAAGTTCCTCCCTGAGGTCTGAGATGTTATGAGATGGAAAAGGGCAGAGGGAGCAGGTAGAATTGATACTGCCCTAACAAAACCCAGAAGGGAAGAGCTGTGGTTCTGCTCTATGGCAGCTGAATTGAACAATATGGCAAGGACTCCAATGTCATCTACACAGCAGCTGCGGACCCTCAGCTTCAGAGTCTGGTTTAGCATCTTACAACAGAGGGCATCAAAACCCTCTGTGTCACGAGAGACAGATACACTACAGGAGCAGGAAAGCAACGTTTGGAAATGACCCCAATGATGTAGCTATACATAGGAAAAAAATGCTCTGAAAAAGGGCAGCGAAAGGCTCTATTTACTTCTTTCTGTGACACGAGATAAAGAAAGCAATGTAGAAAATGGATGTAGAAAGGGAAAAAATCTGCAACCCCTACAAAGAAACATATCCAGCCTGGTGTTTTAACGGGTGAAAATGAACCCTGCAAGACAGGACTGAGATTCAAAAATAAGAAATAAGACTACTGCCTCAGAAATAAGCCTATTGCCTGCTTAGGATGATGGCTGGTGGGACCCTATGAGGGACCATCGATCCTAAGATTTCCTTAGCTATGGAGCTGATCGGGTTGAAAAGAGATTTTTGTCTCATTGCACGGTCATATGCCTGCGAGAAAAGTGGATTTACCCTTTGATGCATCCAAAATATGTCACTGGCTGAGACAGGGCAGCGGAGCAGCCAGGCCCCTGGGATGAAAACGCTGACCCTCCTGATGCCACGGGCCGGTGGCCAAGATTTCAGCCCTGGTCTGCTCCCAGGGAGCACTTCCCACATAAGGCTCCCTGCTTTAATAAAGCTGGATGGAGGCTGCCTTCGTTCTTGCTGCACAGGCTGAGACCCCGCGTAGGGAAAAAAAAATAAAATTCTGGATAGCTGAAACATGATCTTGGCAATTTGGATTATTTGGTAGGAAAGTGGATGGAGTGCTGCGCAGGTTCTGCTTGCAAAGAAAAGCTCAAATGAAAGACAGAAAAAAGAGTAGGGGGGAGAAAAGAAGGAAGGATGGAATTTTCCTCCCTTTACTCAGCACCGTATCTACCCAGATATCTTTGGTTGGATTTAATGCCAGGGAAAATTTGTTTCTGGCCTCTTATAAGCTAAAAGGCACAGCAGAAAATTACATCTGCAAAATGCCAGTTATACTTCTGAAAAACATGTTCAGTCTTGACAATATTTAGGCTGTAAGCTATGTTTTGAGATATGAAATGGAGGATCTGAAAGCCAAGCAGATGATCTCCACAGATCATCAGTTCTGCGTCTTGCTTCCCAAGAAAAAAAATGAGATTCAGCACCAGAACTACTTCTTAAAAGAACTGGGAAAATATAGCACAAAAAAAATCCCAGAATTAAATAATTCAAAGGGGATGAAAAGTATCCTAAAATTATTCCAGATACCAGCCCTGCTGCTTTCCCTGGGACGTGTGAATAGAGAAAAGCTCTCCCCTAGGTGAGATTTATGGCTGGCCTTGGAAGGTGCTCGCCACGTCTCAGAGGGCGCCCGGCTGAGCACGCTCTGCGTGGTGGGCTGGAGGCGTGGAGGGAGGACGGAGCAGTGACCGTGCTTCATCCAGAGGTCGTGAGGCCAAAGGGGATGGGGTGGAGAGAAAGGGTGTCTCTGCCATGCAACGTCGTGCCGGGTCAGAGAGCCCTCCTGTGTCCCACGGAGCAGCAGGTCCCACGCAGCCCCACGCGGTGTCCTGCAGCCAGAGGAGCTCAGGAGAAGTTGCTACCTTGGTGACAGGGTGATGGCTTCACGTTCCCCACCTCACCTCCGCCTGGCACGGCGTTGGGTGATGGAGACATGGGCAAAGCATCACCTACCCATCGGCGCTGATTGAGCCTGCGTTAATACTGTTTCAGCTACCACTCCAGCAACAAAAGTTAAGAAACAAACAACAACAACAAAAAAAAGCAGCATAAACCAAAAGCCCTGCCATCGCCCCGGAGAAGTGTCTGCCAGCTCTGCCCGTGCTGCCCACCGCTCTCTCTAGCCCCCACAGCCTCGCTACCCTCGCAGCTCCAGCCCGAGGGCAGGCTGGAAGGAAGATCTGATTTAAGGTCCAGCATACACGTAGATAACGTTGGACTGGCACAGCACAGAAAAAAAGCACGTTAATACCTAGAATGCTTCCCTCGATGGCGCCACGACATGGTACACACACGCACACACGTACAGAGAAATCTAGGGGGAATGCATGGGAATGGCGTGTTGGCAGTGATACAGACCTTGGCGATGGTTCGGGCTGCTGCTCTTTCCTTTAAACAGAAGCAATAGTACATTAGCATGGTGTCAGGTGGCAAAAGATGTTGCTGCTTCACTGTTAAAAACATAACGAAAGGACAATACCAAACAATACAACTAAGTGGAAGTTGTGGACAGAAAAGAGGGAAAGGAGAGCTTAATTCCTGGAATTTCTGGCCCGGACAGAAGATCACTGGAGACTCACACAACCTCAGAGAAGACACATACAACGCACAGGGTTGAAGAGTTTATCCCAACCCATCCTCGTGCCTAGGCATGACGGGGACACCTGATGGTCGTGTGATTTGTGTGAGCACAGGAGGACTTCTGTGGGCTCAGAGAGCTGCCCCCTTCCTTTGGAAATGCACCGCCCTGTCCTTTTTGTGCACATAGGGAAGGATCTGAATGGCCCTCGTGATCCTGGTGCACTTGCTTTTCCCTCCTGGCCATTGGGACTGAGCTAATGTCAGATCTCTTGATGCACGGCTTCATCCTGCCGTGCTAACACGTGGTCCTTGGGGGACACTGGTGGGAAGGAGTATGGACCCCTGCCCTGACATCCTGCCACTCCAGGTAGGGCTTCTGCCTCCAAAGCCTTTGGCAGCTACTTCCCCACAGGAGTTGGCAAAGGCTACGTGGAGGGAGTGGGACGCCACAATTTTCATATGCGGTTTTGTCCTGAGAACCCAAACCACTTGATTGCCCTGAAAAATCACTGATGTTGAGGACAACGTAATCCGAACACCCGCAAAAGGGTGGGTGTGACGCTGCAAGTCAAGCTAAGGCCACACAGAAAAAAAATATCTCCTTCACTGACAAGGCATCTTGGTGGCATTTCCCTCCAGCAACGAGGGAAACCTGCTCTGCCTTCAACTATTCAACTGGGAAATTGCATTTAATCTGGGTCCTCGAAGCAGCCTTGCCCCTGCAGCCCCACAAAAGGGGGAGCAGACTGTGTTCCTCAGCAGACAAGGTTTTGCCTCCCCTAATGCCAGAGAGACTAAGGGACAAACCAGATTGTGAGAAGAGACCTGGGCAGGAGGAGCTCAATTACTTCTGAGCTTGATGCTCTACCAGCCCTGGTCCTGCCTCCACTGACCACTGAGATCTGCACAGACCCTGACCCTTGGGCTGAAAGCAACAGCCAGGAGAGACTCAGAAAAATACCCCTCCACCCTCTGCTCCTTGCTCAGACAACCTCGAAAACCCAGCCTCAGTCACTAGCTCAAATAATCACATTTTTAAAGTTTGCAGCCACGTGTCTACATATCTCTGCTCTCTGAAGAGACATAAAGCCCAGGGCAGGTCCCATCCCACGCTCCCCAGCTGGTCCCCATGCCCACAGGCACAGCCAACATCTCTCCATCCCTCCCAGGGTCTGCACCCTCCCCACTCAATTGGGGCAACCTCGCCTGCTTAAAAAAAAAAAAAAACCACAAGAATTACCCCTCTTGAGCATAGTTTTAAGCTGCAGGACTTCTGGCCTTCTGGGTCAATCCTTGTACCTTGCCATAGCAAATTTAGCCAAAATTTCTCTCCGCTCCAACCTTGCCTGCTCTCTGGGGGAGGCGAGGGAAGGGTGGAGGGAACAGAGAATGAATTAACACATCCTGGGCCTGAGTCTCCTCTGAGGGTGGTGAAGAACAGAAAGGTCAGAGGAAAACCGGGAATGCTACCTCGATGAGACCCTTCCAAAATACGACTTTGCATTTTCGGCTGAGCACTGTGACATCACTCCAGAGCCAAGTCAGGCTGAAGAAATTCATGTACAGCACGGGAAAGGGATGGGGAGGAGGTCGCTGAACGACCCAGGGGGGATCAGCTGCCAAAACCTCTCACATCTTCAAGGTTGTCCATATGCAAAAAGTAGGAAGGAAAAAACAACAAAAGAAAAAGGAAAAAAGAAGAAAAACCCCCAAAACTAAAAGAAAAAAAGTTGCAAAGCATGTGCTTTCCAAGCTCTCTTAACTCTGCTGCTAACCTGAATGTCAGTCCCGACTTGCTCTTCAGGTTCCTCAGGAGCTCCAGCTGGTTCAGAGGAGGGATGAGTCTACAGGGAGAAAATAAAGACCATTAATATTCCGACAGAGCTGATTTCAGAGCCTCCTGTCTTGGAACCTTCCCCCACTGCCCCGTCCTTACAACTAGAACCAGCTTTGTGCCACCAACTGCAACGGGGGGACAGCTCGGGAAGGATGGAGAGAGGGGTTTGGCTGCTACTTCCACCAGTGTCCTAAGGCAGAGCGGTGGGGGAAGAGAGAGAGAGAGAGAATGACAGCAAGAGAGAGAGAGAAACTTGTCTGCACCACCGGAGTTTGAACCTCCCCAGAAACCAAGGGGCTGCCAGAGTTTCTGCACAGCACGGCGGGGTTCTGGCAGGAGAGTTGTTTCACCACCTGTAGTTCAGCAGTTGGCTTTGCTTTGCCTGGGGCTTCAGCTGTGTATTTAGTGGGGAGAAGCTTGAGTTTTGGAGGTAAGCGGGAAAACTCAACCCTACTGCTCTTGGGAACGCAGGGAAGCATGGCAGGGAGCAGCTTATAGGGTGGACAAAACAGGGAGCTGAGGTCAGGACCACCCCAGGAGAAAGAGCAGTGTGCTCTGGGGTCAAGTTTAGCCAATTCCCTACTGTCCGTGCTAGGTGTTGCCCCAAAATGAGGCAAAATCATGTATTATTACCTTCTGGATCCAGCAAGAAAAAGAACCTGACAATGGGAATCCTGGTTAATAATTAAAAAACACCCAACAAACACACACCCTGGTGCCTATCCTGCTTTTGTGCTAAAAACCACTGAATTAGCTTCCACATCCACTTTTGCTTTCTTCCCTCAGCCCCTGGGAGACTGGGGCTTCCTCCATAAATATTTAAGGCTGACATTCACAGTCAAGATGTGAGCTGGAGGTGTCGGGGGAAGGACAGAGAAACGCTGCACGCAGTTGGGAAGAGCAGCATCTACTCAAGAGCGGGACTTGGGGACCCTGCATTCGAGGTCAAGGCCAACGGGGCTCATCCCAGGGCTTGCTGCAAACTCTTTTCCAGGCCACCAGCATGCCCTTGTCAAAGCATTGAAGTGCCACACGCCATCACTGTTCCCAGAGGGTGCAAAGTCAGCAGAGCAGCCGCCTCCAGTCATTGCTTGTGACAAGCGAGTGGGAGGACGCATCGTTGCAGGGATGAAGGGGAGGATGAGGAGCTCCTGAGGGGCTAGGAAGGGGCTGCCTGCTGCTGCCCACATCATCACAGCCCAAAGAGACACAAGCCCAAGGCAGCGTATACTTAATGGTTTTGCTGGAAAAATGAGACTTGTAGGTTTTAAGGACAGCAAGAAGGTTCTACTTAAACTGTCCCAAACCTTAGGACTGGAAGAAAAGGGGTGCAAGTTCTTGCAGACTAATGGACCAGTCTCAGCTGAGGTGCTGTAAGAAATGGGGCTGTTGCTTACTGTAAAATAAAGGCAGAGATATTCATGTCCACATTTTTTCCAGCCATTACGAGACCAATAGTTTCACAGTTTTCCTCTAACTGAAAAAAAAAACCCCGAACAACTGGAAAACCCTCTCCTCTGCATGCACAAAACTCATCCTCCAAACCACAACCCTTCAGCAAAGCAGATTTGCTGTTCCCAAGATTGAGGCAATCAGAACATTTTCCAATCCTAAGTATGGAGAAAAGAATAAAAATAGGCTTGAAAATTTTGGCTCAGCTCCCCAGTCGAGCCCTGTTCGCTTCCACCCAGAGAAGAGCACATCTTGATCTGATGAATTAATGATCCTCTTCACTCAAGACATCAGGAAGAAGCTGACCTTGGTGCAGTGGAGCAATGCACGAGCGCTGGGCTGTCACCTCCCTTCAAACCCACCCTAGGGTTTGCAGATTTGTTCCAAGATGGGAGATGGTGGTGCATAAAATCCAGCACAAAGTGTGCTTAGCATTTAATGAAGTGTGCACGACTGCTCTTCTTTCCGTGAGCTAGTTTTTCAGGGAGATCCATACTCAGCAGAAGACAGGACAACAGCCCCACTTTCTCCAGCTGGAAGCACAAATCCAGTGCTCCCAGCGATGCAAGTCTCAGAGCTGAAAAGCTCATTAGCTCACTAGATTGAAGGATTCAGGATCCCAAAAGGAGCTCCTTCCTTTGCATTATCCCATAACACAAGGCCTACAGTGTGCTGAAGGTGACAGTCTCTTTGGCCACCACAGATGCTCCCAGGCAAAAGGGGGAAAAAAACAGAAATTCACCGCTTCTGTGGCAGGGTGATGGTACACATGTGGTGAAAAAAACCAATGTTTTTAAATACTTATTAAAATGGGTGTAAACTCATCCATGTACTTGACCTGAAATTCAACCTGCACTGAATGCTCAGCATTAACCTGATATTACATGAGAAGCTGGGGAAGAAGCTACTGCATTGCACTATTTCACCAGAACCTCCAAGAAAAAGCAGGGCTCTGCACAACGCTTTAACTGGGCTTTGCTACAAAATGCTGGATGGAGGGCACCCTGCACTGGTGTGTGCACCCAGGGGACAAGGTGCCACCATGTCCTCCAGAGACATGGAGAAAGGACCTCCGGCTGGGGCATCTCACATTTTCTCTCTCTCCTCCTGGTCCGTGGGTCACTTGTTAGCAAGGGAAGCATGTTTTGGTTAAAGGGGAGCGAGGTGGGAAGATCTGCACGCCACAGGAACACACACAGCTCATGCCACCCACCAGAGCGATGCTTCCGAGTCACCTTCAGCTGCTTCCCACCACCCCTCCCAGTACAGCACAGAGAAACACCACACTAACTCCCAGTGCCAGCTCCCCCCATCCAAAGGGAAGGGAAATTTTCTATTCCTGGTAGCACAGACAACGTTCAAGCATCAGGGGACAGTAGGGATATCATGCCTCCGGCCAGGACATCACCAAAACCCCACAACACGAGGAGGGCAGCAGCACACAACAGTGGGTGGGAGCTCACACAAGAACACACACACACCACGACACGCACGCAGAGACCATGATGATCTTTTTCAACAACCCCAGGATGAACAATTAGGAAGAGGGTGACAAGGAGATGGATGCTGGAATGGAATGGGAACGTAAATGAGTCTCCATGCCGTGCTGGAGTTCCTATAGCGAGCCAATTATTGCCCTAACCATGACTTTATGTCTCCAGCCTAAGCTATTTTTCATAACTGAGAATGTTTATGAAACTTATAAAATATAAAATATTTCATTATAAGAAATGGGATGCAAGTGACACATTCTTATTTCACGCCCAGCAGTAGAAAAATGTCTGATGCTCACAACAGGCTGTTGATTAGGACAACAGGAAAACACATTCATAATATTATACTTGCAATCCATTGATGCCATTTGCTGTAAATTAACCACCCAAAGTGGTAAGTGTGATTTACGAAGGTCATAAAATTTGCATCTGTGAAAACTGGAACCAGGTTTGGAAATCAGGCACTAAATCACATCAGCTCTAACGGCATTAATGCATCTAGTGAGGATTTAAACTGTTCTAAGAACAGAGCTTGGCCCACAGTCTTGAAATGCAAGCCATTTATTCCCCATCATAAAATATTGACTTGACTACACCTTCAGATACCCACCTCATATAAAATATGCCTGTGATTTGAAAATCTACTCTTTTCTGCAGAACCTGAGATAACATTATTTATAATAAATCTTACCCAGCCACATAGAGGTCTTTTTGTTTGGATTCATCCCAAAAGACTAAGCCCTACATTGAGTAACTGGGGCTAAGAACTTCTTGGCTTTAGGTCAGTCTTAGAAGAAAAACCTGAAATGGAGAAGTCCTGCTGAGACGAGCTACCCTTTTCCCAAAAATCAGACTGGATTACTAGAAGAAATGAATGATCATTTCAGTTTAGCATTCCACATCTTTCTCTCCTCCAGAAGTCGTCCTCAAAAGCAGGCACGGCCGCTACTGCGATTTCATCCTGTCTACCACTGATGTGTCCCACGGTGCCACCACACCAGCAAATTCAGCAAACCTAGAGTTACCTACAGCTCCTACAGCATGAAGTGAGACAAATGACACGATGAAGAATGGGAAAAGAGGGAGGGAGGAAGGGGAAGACGCAGGAGTGATGGCAGAGGGAAAATGGAAGTGTGAACAGGGAAGTTTTCTTGTCAAGCGTTGCATGAGTTGGAGGAGGTTGGTAAGACCATCAAGAAATCATCCTTAAAAAAAGCAAGCTTATCAAGCGCTCTCCCAGTCTCCTTCCTTAAATCCTCATTTTGGCAGATGGTTTCCCAACACTTGTGTGTACCAATAGCTAAGGTGTACATGGAGGTGCACGAGTTAGTCTGGAGGCAGCAGGATGGGGAGTCTGGTTTGGGCTTTCACTCATTCCTTTGAAAAAACTGATCTTCAGAGGTTTTTTTGTTTGTTTGTTTTGTTGTTTTTTTTTAATTAAAGGCTTTGCATGTTACAGTCCCAAACGAAGAACAAGGAGTGACATGACACACAGTTTCAGAGTCACATGCACTTCATACCTGGAGGCACCGTACGTTTGCGTTTGCGTGCTTTTCAAGTGTTTTCACCAAAGAAAACCAAAGGGATAAGAGAAAGAAAAAACAGGGTGGGGGGGGGAAAGGTAGGGCAGAGGAAAGGGGGAAAGAAACAGAATAAAGAAAATTAGCATATGAACGAAGTGTTTCCCCTGGAGCAGATGTGCTGTGACCAGGCAGCTGGTTCAGAAACCACTGTGTGCCCGTGTCACCCTCAGGGACAGGCAGTTGGCACCGTGCTCCAAAAGCAAACGGGCACCACACAGCAGGGAAAATGTGGGGGCCTCCGAGAGATTCTTGATGAGACCTCCCCAGCCATCAGTCCCAGCAGCCAGAGACTCCTTGGGCTGGGCTGCTGGCTTGGGCGTGATGTGCTGGTGGGGTTTTTTTTAAAGACCAATATAAGAACATAGATGAGATCAAGGTCTTGTTCTCATGAGTGACAATAAAGAGCAAAATTTTTTTTTTTTTTCAGCAAATCCAGCGGCTGATGCATAACAGGTGACAATGTCTGGGTGCACCAAGCT